CCCGCGTCCGCTGCCGCGCATGCGCCGTGCTGGTCGTCACCCTGTCTCTGGTCGCCGTCGTGCTCTGCGCGCCCGAAGAGTCGCCCAAACGCGCCCCGAGCGGCTTCCTGGGCGTACGTGGCAAGAAAGATTCTGCCTTCGTCAGTGAGGAGGCGTACAATGACGTCATGGAAAAGCGTGCCCCCGCGATGGGTTTCCAGGGGGTGCGTGGTAAGAAGGACGACAAGCGGGGGCCCTCCATGGGGTTCCACGGGATGAGGGGGAAGAAGGACGCAGACTCACGGGCGGAGTTCTTGCAGGAGCTCCTGCAGGACAAGAGGGCTCCATCCATGGGCTTCATGGGGATGAGGGGGAAGAAGGAGGCATTGGACTTCGACTATTTTGACAAAAGGGCTCCGTCGCTGGGGTTCCAAGGGATGAGGGGTCGCAGGGACGGGGAGTACCTCAGTGCCAACAGGCTGGGCCTCATTGGGGTCCGAGTGGAGAACGGCGTCAATCTGGAAGGAGACGACTACGCTGAAATGTCCTCTGACGAGGACCTGGAAGCAGGACTCCAGGACGCCGAGGAGTTCAGCAAACGAGCACCGGCGGCAAACGGATTCTTCGGCACGAGGGGCAAGAAAGTACCGGCCAACGGGTTCTTCGGCACGAGGGGCAAGAAAGGTCCGTCGGCTGGTTTCTTCGCAATGCGAGGCAAGAAGGCGCCCTCCGCTGGCTTCATGGAATATCAGGGGCCGCCTGTGGACCTGGACACGCTGCTCAACTACCTGGGGACCGCGTACCAGCACGGGCGCGACAAGAGAAACGGTGGGAGGTTGCCCGGGTCGAAGAAAGCTCCCATCGGCTTCCTCGGAACTCGCGGCAAGAAGGACTGGCCGACACAGCAAGGTAATCGCCGCTCCCGCCCCCTCTCCGGGTCAGGTGCAGACCCTTAACAAATTCAAAGCGTTGAACCTGACCTCGAGGAATCGTTGTCAAAAATGAATACTTTGCCCGCAATCAACGCGTGGGGAAATCTACCTTCCATTTTGCGAGACATGTGATGGCGTCTGGACGCGTTGTATTTGTGGCTCGACAGTGGGATTTCGATGTGGCTGGTACGAGGTTTCCTGTTTTAAAATGCCAGGATCAAAGCATGCCTTAAATCACACTAACAAAATATTACCAAATTTAGTAGCGGACTCCTTTCTTATCCTTGGCGTGATCGACGCTTGGGCTGTTAAAGTACCAAGTGAATCGTATTCACAGTTTAATTGTTAGGGATTGGCATGGAAGTGGTCGTGGCTAATTGTAAAGCTCCAACCGGCACTCGTTTGGAGACGACGAGCTTCCGAGCGAAGCTTAGAACCGGGTGCCTAAAAGCGTTACCGCTTAAGTAACCCGCTCGTTAATCTATTTCGGTCGCATGAAAGTTACCTTCACAAGACACGCGACGGAAAGCTTCGTATGTGTCGTCTTTCCGTTTCTGACTTTGGTGGGACGCGCCAGTGTGAACTGCGGTCGAGAGATGAACTTTCGATGCCAGACTTTGTTTAAATTTTGCGATCGACAATCGAAAGCGAATTATTGCTTTACGGTTAGGTTGGGTCTGCCATCTGACAGCCGGCGTCTGAACTAATATATTGTCGAGGGCAATCAGACGTGACTTGACCTCCAGGCCGCTCGTGTGTGAAAAACTTTTTCGTTCTCACGTTTTATGGGATTCGTGATTCGGGTGCCAATCGGGAACATAGCTGTAAGTGGAAGGATAATATTAAAATGGTTATTGCAGAAATCGTAAGGATGTGGACAGGGTCTAGATAGCGTCTTTGAACTCGGCAATGAATGTCTTTGGCAGCAGAATTACTATCCCAGACAGTGTAGTTAGTAAATGATAATATTAAAAGGTAATAAAATAATTGTGCAGAAGGAGAAGGATGTCAGTGTGTCAGCCTGACTCACACTTTGACAAACTACGACGCCGGAGTAAAGTTTCTGAACTGCAGGACTCGAGGTTCTCACGGAAGCGAGCACGAAGGAGGCTGTCTACTGGGTTGCGGGTTTACCGACGTTTCGGACGTCCTTGACGTCTCCGTCATCAGGGTGTTGACGGACCTTATTAAAGTTTCTCGATGCAACTCAGAAGCTAAAGCCGAGGTTCGACCCAGGAGCTTTGAGTCGAACGAGTGGCACTGATGCGTTTTTGTTTGTTTCAGTGGTGGCGTCCTCAGAGGGACCCGAGTTCGACCCCCACACATCCCAACTGTCCGAGAGCGACTGAACAGCTATGCGCCATGTGGCAGTGTTCCGCAGACCACAGACTGACGCCTCTGTCGTCATTAGGATTTCCTCCGCCAGTTTGACCTAAAATGCTGTTCCTTGTTTAGGTATCATATTTATCGTGGCCTCAAATACGAAATTAAATATCGACAGCTGAAATATCGATTCTCCCTCTACGTCTAAA